GGCTGAAGCCCATCTGGAGTTGAATCTAGTGGGTGACATAGAGAAGAACTTCAACAGATAGGTCAGCAGCAAAAGGAAGACTAGGGGAAATACGGGCTTGCTGGTAAATGGGGAGGGGACCTGGTGGCACAGGACATGGAGGAGGCTAAGGTACACAGTGTCTTCTTTGCTTTCATCTTAAGACTGGCCTTCAGGCATCCCAGGTCCCTGAGACCCATGGGAAATTTTGGAGCAAAGAGGGCATACACAAGTTCATGGGACCAGGTGGAATGTATCCATGAGTGCTGAGGGAGGCAGCTTATGTCACTGTAAGGCTGTTCTTGGTGACCTTTGAAAGGTCATGGTGATCAGGAATGATTCCCAAGGACTGGAAGAAGGTAAGTGTCACATCCTGTATTTAAGAAGGAGAATCTGGGGAAGTAGTTTGGTCAGCCTCACTGCAATTACTAGGGAGACGTGGCAAAAGCCAGTCCCATGAGCAGTTTACAAACTGTTAAGGAAAAGGTGATGATAATGATGGGGAGTAATCACCATTGATTTATGAAGGAGAGATTATGTTCAATCAGCCTGATAGTCATCTCTTTGTGTAAGGTTGGCTTGGTAAGTGAGGGAAGAGCTAAGTGTTATCTCCCTAACTGCTTATTTAAAACACAAACACAGACACACACCACCACCCAACATCACAGCACAAAAACCCATCCAAGCCAAGAGAACACCACCACCCTACACTAGTCTTGTGGAATTTTGTGATTAAAAGCAACAACTGTCCTCAGTGACTCCATCCACATTTGATGTAAATCCACTAGAAACAATATTGTTTTGGTCACGATTTTCAACAGAATGCTGGGAATACATCCAAGGTAAGATTTGGCCAAAAAGCCCTTTGCCCTTCCTAGCATCATTAGGGAAAAATAATGCTTTTGTAAGCTGTAGTTGTATGTGGGTTATGTCAGATGTTTCTGTGGTGTGCTCTAACCAGAACGTGCAGTGCTAAAGCAACAAAATCAGAGCAAAATGGGAGACCAGAAGGAGAAAATTCAAAGAGACAACATTAATAATAATTAAAACATAATTTCCCTTGTTTGCTTTCAGCATGTCTGTAATTGAGCAGGAGTAATGTGTAGCATATGTGAGGAAGGATATTTAATATGAGGAATTCTTACAGTATAAAAATGCTCACACAATCCCTGTTCGTTACAGTGCGTAATGGCCCAGAAAGTGGCAGCAAAGTTATGGTTCAGTTTCCACGGAGTCAGTGCAAGGACCTTCCCAAAGGCGATGTGCTGCAGGACAGCAAGTGGAATCATCTTCGAGGGCCCTTCAAGGAAGTGCAGTGGAATAAAATGGAAGGGCGGAACTTTGTCTATAAAATGGAACTCCTCATGGCTGCCCTGACTCCGTGTTAATAATCCATCTGCGGCTTGGAATCTTCACTGAGCTGCATACAATCACTGCTGAGCAGCAAAGGGAAATGGGAGCTATAACACAATGCGAGAAAGCAAACCCAAATGTATTTCCTGTACAGATACGTTCATTGTACTGTTTCTAATAAAACTTTTTTAATAACTTCTGGGGAAGTTCCTTTCAGCTCCTTCTTTGCAGATTGCTCCATCTGAAGTAGAGCTGGGTCACTGATGTATTTTTCTTTTATTAAATCAGTTCAGTAGTTGTTTGCTATATGAAAGTGTCTGCTCAGAGTCATTCCCTTCTCTCTCATGCTCCTACTTTTCTCAATAGATCTTTTTGTAAGTGTTACTGAGAGACAAAAATGACTAGAATGGAATTGTGCTATTGTGAAGCCTTTTAATGGCTGGGACCATAAGGAATGGCTGTCTTGGAGGAAGCTAATGGACTCATTTCATGAGAAGCGGGACAGCAGAGGAGAAGCAGAGCTCTCTTGTCAAGAATTAAGGCTAAAGACAGCATAGGGAACTGTCTTCACTGGGTAACATCCTTGAGCTGGAGTTTGAACATGGATGTGGCTTCTGGGTGATCCATTTCTTTTTTGAGAGATACATTTGGTGGCAATTTTTGAGAGTGCTACAAAGTCACAGCTTTTGGCAAACATCTTTCTGATGGCTACAGGTGAGCCTGTGTGGTTGCTGGTTACTTTGCTTGTGTTTTCTGTCCTTGTTTTTTGCAGGTATGTGGAAGAAAGGGTCTTACTCTGCTTGCAAGATTCTGACAATTGGGGTTTGGGGGTGATGTTTCTAAATTCATGTCCGGATAGCAGCAGGTAATTCATACAGGAGACTTTGCATCCCCACAGACTGGTTTGTTTGCTTGTTTGGGTTTTTTTCCTGCACTGTCATTTGTTATCATCCAGGGAAACGATAATATCCTGAAGATCAGCTCTTTTGAGTTCTTTGAAAATAAAAGTAGTCACATTTTTGTCTCTCTTGGTTGTTCTTGTAGCCTTCTTGAAGCTTCTGGTAAGGTATTGCACAAAGCTTTGATGGTTAATTGCTGAAGATCTTTTCGAAACCTGTCTGTATGAACTGGTTCAGACTTACATCCAGCTTATGTGTTACGAAGTATGTGCAAATATATGAGAGAACATTTCACACATAAAACATGTTTGCATTGAACATCATACTTTGTGACAGTTGTTATTTTGCTGTATTCTTGAGCAATAAAGAGTAGTAGTAGGAAGTAATAAGCAACTGCTTATGGCAAGCTTCTGCTCAGTGTCTCTCCAAAGCAGCTATTGCACTGCTGTTCGTGTTTGCTGCTGTGAAACATCTTGTTATTTCAGTTCCTTGAAGTACCTGCTTCTGTGTGACTGAGCTATGAGAGAGAAAGGGTTTTCCTTTCAGGTTTTGATGAATTTCTCAAGGCATCTTATAGAAAACGAAAACGTGCTGGTTGAAAGTACTGTTTATTGTCTTGAAAGATGGGTGAATCTCTCACACAACCCCTGTGATGCCAGGTCTTGTGTTGCTTGACTAGCCTATGATTACTGGTAGAGAGGGGGTTCTTTGATGAACAGTTCAGCCAGCAGCCTGATGCATCTGTTCATGCATCTGATTATAAGAGGCTCTTTGGACTTGACAACACAACAAATCTTCTCTTACTATTAATTAGATGAGTGTATGAAACTTAAATGTGTCTTTGCACTTCACTGTTCTTAACCTAATTGATAGGTCTGCATATAGTGATAGCCTTCTCTACAAACAAGCTCTTCATTACCAAGCAACAGGATCGCTTTGGGGCTATTAGGATCTCGTACTTGCAGGATTTGCCTCCTGAAAAGAAGCAATGGATGCAAGAAGGCTTGTGTTGCAGAAATGCAAGCATTGAACATTAACAGTGAGGACATTTGTCAGGGTTTCCAGGCCTAGATGGAAAACAAAGAATAAAAAATTATTAGAGACCTGGAGAGTCTGTCTTTTAGTGTTAAATACACAGGGATTCCAAGTTTTGGAATGGAAAACGGACTGATTAGGCTTCTAACAGAGGGACAGTCTTGAAATGCTTGGTAGTGCATCTTCGAACGTGAAATGAAGACATTAGTGGATGATTAAGACCTTTGAAATTGATTGCCAAAGCAATCTTGTGAATTTTGACATCTCTTTAATTAACGTTTAAAACTAATCCCTTTGATCATTTGGAATGCTCTAAATATTAAGTTTGCTGCTGTTCTGCATGGAGTTTACAAGTGAATAGCTACTAGTTCCTAAACTTCCATTTTAACAGCTCACTAGAAGACTTTCAATACTTCAGGTACCTCCAGTCTAGCAAGGAACTGCTGCAGACAGCTTAGCCTCATGGTCTGTATATTAAATATTACTGAGATTAATAATGCATATGGACAACCATCAGTTTCAGAAAATGGGAGTATTTTATAAGTGATCTTACCTACATAGTAAGCCTGCTAAGTTCTGGGTAAAATCTTCGGGTGAGGAATCATCTATAGGCAAGCAGTACACAGGCTAACTGTACTGTATGTCCTCACTGAATATTAAATGCCTGTTGTTCATCTAGGATATTACTACCTAAAATTGAGGTTGGCATTAGTGTCAGTAGCCAAGGGTGGGCACCAGAAGTTGTATCCTTAGCTAAGCTGGGAGAGGTAGAACAGCGGTGCTAGTGGGAAACCTCTTGCTGCTCTTACAGTGCATCTTCAATTGAAGGTTTTTATATGGTCATTTCCTACTTTGATCCCAGCTTTCAAATTTTGGAGTTTGAAAGTGATCTCTCCAATTCCAGCCATGCATTCAAATGGTCATTCATGTCTGTATACGTTTCCTGACTTTGCCTTTGGCAATTACACTATTAAGTCAGCATTAGCAGATAGTAATGGTGTTACATGTAATAATAATACTTTCTAAATAAGTCTAGCAGAGCACCTGCTATATCCTCAGCTTAATGAATAACTTCAAGTGCTAACAGTGATTTTTAAAAACTCTAGATAAACAAAAAAATACTAATGTTTTCCATATGCTATATGGATACTTCACAAGTACTTCAAGCTTAGTGATTGAAACAGATGCACTTGCAACTTCTTTTGTGTTGTCAAAGCTTAGTTCAAAGATACAGAAGATGGGTAATACATACTTAGAATAAGGAATTAGAGCAAACTGCTACTTTGCCAAGCTGTGCTGCAGCTGCCTGTTCTTTGATTTCCCACCTTTTGTGACCTGCTCTCAAACAGGAAGGATGCAGGAAGCAGCAACCAGCTGAATCTGGTACCTGAATTTATGAGTGGGTGAGAGGCCCTTAGTGTACTGCAAAAGGCCGGTTAATCCAGGGATGACTTTTTCAAGGTACTGTGTACAGACTGCTTTGGGAAAAGCCTGTTTGTTGCCTCCCTCCATCATTATGCACTTGGTGAGAAGTTCTCTGGCTTTCCATATCTAACCCTTAGTACCTCTGCATTAGTCCCTGCCTAGAGGGGAAGCTCTGTCAGCCTGCCCTGTGAAAGGTTTGCAGACAAGTGAGCTGAAGCGTGAGAGGCAGTGGCAGCAGTTTGGCTCAAGAAGCCATTGCAATCAGACTAGTCCGTGGTCTCTGATGTTTCTGAGGTTTATTTCACACTGCAAAATTCTTCTCATTACAAAAGCAAACCAGGATGATTTGGAGCTCGGTCAGGTCAGTGCTTTCTCACTCACAAAACCAAACGTTATTCCACCCAGCAGATCTGCAGGTGGAGAATGTAAGTGCAATATGCAGATTCAAGAAGACATTAGTTCAATCACTTCATGTTTTCTTACAACGTAGGAAAGCAAAGTTGGCTTCTCAACAAGAGCAACTTCAGAACTCTATTTGTAAATAGCAAATCTCTAAGTAATGCTGTATCATTTTTTCTTCCCAGATAGAGTATTTGACAGTAGGTTTGCAAAGGACATCTTTCACAATGAAACCGTTTTGTGTTTTGCCACCCCTTGCATGTGATGTGTCACTGTTTCATCCGACCCCTCTAATCCCTATAGGCAGCATACTCCTCAGTGCCTGTGCGTGGCTCCTTGTTTAACAACCTCCTGTAGTCATGTCATAAAATGTGTGTTAATATCCTGGAGCAGTGCAAACACTGAAGTGGGGAACTTTGACCAGCTCGGCGTTGTTTCAAAGGCAGTTTTGTCTCATGAAGGATTGGAGTTTGTGTTCATTCAGGAAATTCCGTATGCCCCAAACCAGCAGCAGAGGCGCAATAAACAGGATTCAGTCCTTGCAATTAAGTTTTTAATATGATACTGTAACTAGGCATTAAATTTATTATGTTGAGCGATGCTAATGGCTGCTCTGTCTGTAATAGGAGACTTGCTGTAGCCAAAATACAGGAGTCTTTCAAGAGCATGGTCATTTCCTTTCTGGGTTGCTCTTGGAGGCTTAGTTGGTTGGTTTTAAGAGTGGTAGAGGCTGCAGATTTTATTAATGAGCCACAAAAATGTGTTCGTGCTCAGCATGAAAGCATACTCTTCCTTCCTTTGACCTTGGTTAGCAGAGCTGAAAACCTAACAGGTCAAAACAGCTCCATCAGACACTGCTGGTTTAAAGTCTAATGAGTTTGCAAGTCAGGATGTTTCTACAACAGCCATAAGCATGTTACCTTTAAGGTTTCTTCTCCCTTTCTTTGCCAGTGCTTTTTCCTGAGGTAGAATTGTTATTTTTGCTATGAGACAGTCCTTGGCTAACACTCAATGGTTTCCAATTCAATCTCTTCAGTTGTACTTGCTGCAAAGAAAAGGGTATTATTATTGATTGGCAAATGCATTGGAAGGCCAGCGTTCCAAAATTAACAGCGCTGTCTTAATAGCTGAGACATTTTGAACTTTTTAATATTAGCTCAAGCTTACTCATCTGCAATTAGGTTTTAAATATACCATTTCAAAGCATTTAACTGCACAAAGAGTCCCTCACAATCTTGAAGTGACACTGGTTTCTTCTGATACAAGACTAAAGGCACTATGAAAAGTCCTCCTACCTCTCTTCATGACTTCTGAAAGGAGGGCTCTGATAAGGTGAAACTGGGGCAGACGTTGGGTCCCTGCTTCAGATCATGTTCTGGGAGATGACAGAGCAAGTCCCCAGAACTGTGGCTTTCCTGAACTCTGCCAAATAACTGTGTTTGACTGGGCTCTGTGGGAAGATCGGCTCTAACCGGAGGAAGAGGATTTATCCAAACAAGAGCTGGTGTATTCTGGCACCACAGGAAAATTTTCAGTAGCTACAGAAGCAGTGAGCAGTGTGTGCACTGTGAAAACAGCAGCAGCCCTTGCATCTGTGGGTGAGCAGCAGAAAGGAAGAGACAGCTCAAGTCACAGTATCACAGTATCACAGTATGCTAGAGATTGGAAGGGACCTCAAAAGATCATCTAGTCCAATCCCCCTGCCGGAGCAGGAACACCTCGATAAGCCGAATTCATCTCTTCTCGTACCAGGCTTTGCAGAGTTGACACAAAGTCATGAGGCTTAAGACTCTTGAGTATCTGCATTGGTCTTGTAAAATACTGATGCTTAGGCTGCTTGTTGTAAGGTAACAGCTTAAACAGCACTTAGGGAAGAAATACAGACCTTTTACCTATAGGGCAAGAAACCACTAATGGATCTGCACTTATAAAGAAGGGAAGTGAATGCCTGAAATGTTTTGAAGTGGTAAAAGAAACCCCCTGTTCCAAAGATGTGCCCAAAGCTTGAGCCCAGGCCTGTAGCTTGGCACTTGGTCTTGCTGCCTGGGCCAAATATCCCTGCTTGTGGGTTGGAAATGTCTTTCTAACACGGGAATCTTCCTTTCTGTGCAACCCTGGAGTTCCCTTGATCTGCTTTTTATGATGGGTGTCTTTAGTGCCCGTTAAGAGTCTGGGTTTGATATTAGTCAGTGTCCACTGGAGTCCACAACTGGATCAAATATGAGGACAGATGAAAGGGGTGGTTTGAGAGGAGAGGGATGGGTGCAGTTCTCCATGAAATGAGGTGGGGCCACTCCAAATGGCTTAGGAGACACCCTTCGGTGCAGACCCTGAGAGCACTACTGATGCTCTTGACTTTGTCTCCTCTCCTCTGATGGGGGGTTATTGCAGCTCTGGCCTTTTCTCCCTAAATTTTGCACTTAGCAATGTTGGGAAGTGTTTTATAGTTTCTGATGTAAAATGTATAAGGTGGGTATCCAGTGGATTGTTCTGCAGCTAAATACCTGTTATTCAGTCACCTCAGCTAGCAAAGAATTGAGCAGGGTAACTGAGCTGAGCCCTTCCAGGCCTGTTTCTCAGTGTCCCTGCTTAGCACCGTTATGGCTCAAATCACAGGTGAACTTTAGGCTCAAAATTCAGACTTCAAAGCCCTATACCTAGACTGCATTCTTAGAGAGATACCTGTTAGTTTGTGTGTCATCTTCTTCTGAAATAGATGCAGAGATTTATTACACAGCCACATGAAGCAGACCAAAATGGCAGATACAGCAGCAAGAAATGCAAAGAGAACTGCTACAAAATGTAAATCTTCATAGATAATCTCTGCAGGGAGGAGAGAAAAAAACTTATATTATTAAATTGATTGCAAGCAGATTCGTGTTTAAACACGGGGTAAAGCCAAGAACTCCCATATAGTTTGTACCGTAAACATTGACGATGATGGTGCCGTAGGTGTTGGTTCCATGCTCCTCTGTTACAGTGATAAAATAGTAGCCAGCATCTCTCATGCCCACATTCAGGAGCTGTATAGAGCCGTTTTCAAAAGTCGTCACTCTGTCCTTGTAGGCTGTGGATACGTTGACATGATTCCCACTTTTCCACTCAACAATTTTGGTGGTGCCCCAGGTTGACACGTGCTTCCACTCAATGGTGGCAACACCTCTGCAAGAGTATTCAACTGAGAGGAGGATGTTCTGTGCCACTGTTGCGTTGATGTTGGGCTGTGGGACAACTAGTGATACCCCTCCAGGAGCTGAAAGGGAAAAGAGGGTGATGAGTGTGGAGATGATGCTGCTCCAGCCATCCAGTGCAGGATGGGACCTACCTATCTTAGTGGCTGTTTTAAGAGAGGATGGATTATGCTTTACATATTTCCTTTCTGCTGATCATAAAAGGAAGAGAGACATTTAAATTAAAGACTAAATACAGATTTTAATCAGTGATAATCAAAAGGAGGATGACCAGCAGGCTGAAGGAGGTGATCCTGCCCCTTACTCTGCTCTCATGAGACCTCACCTGGACTATTGTGTGCAGTTCTGGTGTCCTCAACATAAAAAGGACATGGATCTATTGGAACAAGTCCAGAGGAGGCCACGAAGATGATCAGGGGACTGGAGCACCTCTCATATGAAGATAGGCTGAGAAAGTTGGGGCTGTTCAGCCTGGAGAAGGCTGCGTGGAGACTTCATAGCAGCCTTCCAGTATCTGAAGGGGGCCTATAGGAATGTTGGGGATGGACTCTTCATTAGGGACTGTAGTGATAGGACAAGGGGTAATGGGTTCAAACTTAAACAGGGGAAGTTTAGATTGGATATAAGGAGGAAATTCTTTCCTGTTAGGGTGGTGAGGCCCTGGAATGGGTTGCCCAGGGAGGTTGTGAATGCTCCATCTGTATCAGTATTCAAGGCCAGGCTGGACGAGGCCTTGAGTGGCATGGTTTAGTGTGAGGTGTCACACTAAAGGGGTTGGAACTTGATGATCTTAAGGTCCTTTCCAAGCCTAATTATTCTATGATTCTATTATAATAATGAGAAACTTTTCCACTATATAGGACAGGTAATTGCATGTATTCCAGTGTTTAGATACCCAAGCAGAGACAGTTTGGAAGAATCTTTTTGGGTAAGGGAATGTAACATTGAAAATAGAGCAATGCTTTTGTATTCATCAGTAACCGGCTTTCCTTTAAAATCCTGCATTTAAATGTGAAGTTTATTCATCAGCTTTCATAAAGGCAGCCAGTTACATGCCAGTGCAGATGAGCCACATGAAATCAAAGGTACACATTTCATGTGAAGTCAGGGACTTCATGTTCCGGATGATTTCCAGACAGAAATGCACTTGAAAGAATATTTAATCTCCTCTAGTTCCTAGTGATGTGATTCTGGAACCTTTCATAACACTGTGAGGCTCAACTGGCCATCCAGATTAATGTGTAACTGCAATAACTTCTGCTTCTGTGGGGGTATTTCTCCATGAAACGCAGTATCAACACCAAACATTTGAGTTCCAACTGGTACTAATATATATATATTTAAATAAATAGGGGCTTGTTCGAGGCACTTGGCTAAAGACTGAAATCCTGTTACCTAAATGCAGAAATCAAACCAGAGAGAAGGCAGATAAAGCACAGAGCAAGCCTCAGTGCTGAATGCCTTTTCCTGGGTTGTCTTGGAGCAGCTCACTCACTCTCCTCTTGTGCTGTGGGGACTGCCTGATGGCAAGAGCAGAACTGGGAAAGTAATGCTAATGTCTGGGACCCCGTGGAGAGGGAGGATGAGACCCTCAGCTGTGCTGAGGGACCCCTGGGGATGGTCCTGGAGGTTCTGCAGAGTCTTCAGGGAAAACAATGGTTAAAAAAAGGCAATGAAAGAATTATCTCAAATGGGAAGAAATTGTCTTTAAAAATCTTATCCAAAAATAAGCCCCCCCTCCCCGCCCAATGGCCAAAACCCCAAACCAACCACAAGTGGGGAGAGATGGATACATGAACTAGAAGCTAACTTCACTCTGTTTGGGATCTGTAGCAGAATTCAGAAGCTCTACTTGTCGAGGTGAGGCAGGGAAGCTGGAGAAGCCGGTTTGATTCTCAGGTCCTCACTGATGGGACCAGCCTGAAGCTATAACCACTCTTATTTTTGTAACTGGGGACTTAGGCTCTTTCCAAGGTAACACCCCTGGGGTTTGCCCTTCATGGGCATCTTGTGCTCATGCTGCCCAGGCCTCTTGCAGGGACATGATGCTTTCCAGGAAGCCCAGAGCATCCTCAGCTAAGCTGCAGCTCAGCCTGTGTGCAGGAGAGACTCACCAGAGCCCTGACAAAGGGCTTGTGCCAGCAGCAGAAACAGAACAGATGGGAACTTCTGGTAATCACTGCTAACTGTTCCAATTGTTTTCTGCTCCATGTGTTTGTTTGGAGGCCTTTTGCACTGTTTCTGACCAGCCAGGAGCTGAGTGTCTCACCACAGCAGCCCTTTTATGTTTTGATAAAGGCACGGATTTGTTCTGGATAGGTGATTGCAAGGTAAAGGCAAAAATAAAAAGACACGAATAGAAATCCTTCAATCCCTGTCCAGCGCACGAAGCCAAACAAGGCAGTGCAATATCTAACCATTCAAAAATGGTTTCAATACACAGTCTGCCTGCATCACCTGAACTGGTCTGATCCAAACCGAGCTGCGCAGCCTGGAGAGCAAACATCCCCCCGGCAGCGCCCTGGCTTGCACAACCAGCCCCTTCTCAGCCGGTAAAACACGCTCCGAGGAGAAGCGGTGAGTTCGGAGTCCCTGCACACTGCTCCTGCGCTCCAGAGCATCGGCCTGGCCCGGAGCCGGAGCGGGAAGAACGGAAGAAGTGGGAAGAGTGGGAAGCGCGGCTCCGTGTGCCTGCCGGGAGCGGGTGGGGAGGGCCGGCCCCTTTGTGCAGGAACCCGTGCATGGGGGGACAGCGCTAAAACTGAGCTCTGCTCCTCCACCTTTTGGTGTCCTGCTTCTGTGTCACCTTGATGATGAAGAGGACGCGGTGCCAAACCAGACCCACCGGTGGCACTGCCCACCCTGGTCCTCCCACGGACCTCGCTGGGAGCTGCCCCGGCCACCCTCGGCCCCCGGGGGTGTAGGGCTGAAATCCAGCTCCCTGCCGCCTTTCCAGAGGCAACCGAAGCCCTTCGGGCTGGGCACTCGGGCCGTGCTGCCTCCTGCATTCCTTATCCCCTCCGCTCTTGGAAAACCGCGGAAGGGTGGCGGCTGCTCGGGATCTCGCCCCTCTCCCCGGCTCCGGGCTGGCACCGCTCCCTCCGAGCGGGACGATCCTTCCCCGACCACTTCCAGCGTGAGGAGAGCAGCGCTGCCAGCCTGACACCCGTACCTGATCCCCATCCCCTTTCCCAGCGGGTATTCCCAGGCACTCCCTGTCGGGTTGGGAAGAGCCCCCTCTGGGCTCTGCACCGCCCCGCGCCAGCGCTGGGGCCGAGCCGGCGGTAGTGCGAGAGGAGGAGGAAGAGGAGGAGGAGGAGGAGGGAAGGGCCGGGGGGTGGGAGGGGGGGTAAGCGGAGGGGAGAAGGGACGGAGACGGACACTTACTCTGCAGAGCCCACCCGGCCGCCAGGCAGAGGGTCACGGTCCCCACGACGATGCCCCGTCCCCGGCAGCCCTGGAGCGGTCTCATCAGACGGAAGCCGGTGCCCCAGGGGTTGCATTTAAGCGGCTGGGCCGGCCAGCGCGGCCCGACCGCGGGGGCTCCCCGCCCCAGGCCTCTTCCTCGCTCCTTTCCCTCCTCTTCCTCCCGCCCTTGCTGCCTGCTCTCCCCCAGCGCCTGCCGCACCGGCCCGGGCTCTCCCACGCCTCACACCCCGCGATCCTCCGATACGGATTGAAGATGCAATTGGCTGAGGAAGGGAAAGCGCTGCCCGGCCGCCTGCCATCGCCCAGCCAGGAAATGAGCGGTGATGGGCGGCCGCAGGGGACGAGCCCAGCGCTGGGGCACTCGGCCGAGGATGCCCTTTTGTGTGTGATTGCCAAGGAAACACGCACCCGCGAGGGAAATGTCCCTTCAGGGTGTTAGAAATGACTTCATTGCCCGGGGAGTCTGGTGATGCTGCGGGCGAGGCGGAGGCGCTGGGCAGCAGCTGTGTGGCCTCAGGGGCCATCCCTCATGAAAAACGAGCCTGGTCCCCATCCTACCATACCCAGCACAAGCACTGAGCGCTCCTCCTTTCAATCATCCAGAAGGAGAAGGTGCCCAGAAAGGCCTGTCCTGATTTCAGGAAGGCACAGGGCAGCGTGAGTGAGGGGGAAATGTGATTAGAAAACATGTGAGTGCCCCGGTCCTGAGCATCCATCCTCAGAATCCATCCTCGCTCAGGGGCAAGTGCTATTGCCCAGAAGCCATATGCACCTCGGGAGAGCCACTCCCCTGACTGGGAGAGAGCTACACACCAGGATGGCCCTTCTGTAGATCTTCCATGCTCTTCTTCCTCACATCTCCCACTCCCCAAGTTCTCTTTAGTAGGGAATGGATAAAGGAGACACCTTGGTGCACCGGTCAGTACAGGCTGCTCCAGGTGGGTGAGAGGAGAGGGCAATGACCCATGCGAGGAGGGATGGATGTGGTCTGCCAGAGCCCCATCTCCCACTGCCCTGCATGGACTGGTGCAGGTTTCCCTCTGTGCTGCCTATCTCTGAGGATGACAGGGGGGTCCCACCAGGGTTCTGGGTGGCTGAAGCATGGCTCTGGCCAAGGGGCCCAGCAGAAGAGAGGCTCAACACTGACCGTGACGCCATCATGTGCAGCCAGATCAAAGCCTCTGCTTGACATTAGAGTTTCCTATGTTCTTAGAAGGAACTTCTAGGCCTTGGGTCAGGCCTTGGCAAGGGAGGGTGAGGTCTGCTTTGACTCCCGGGCCCACCTTTTATTCAGGGTGCAATAAAATCTTCATCTTCTCTGACTTGTGGTGCACCTCTTGAAGCTTCAGCAATGAGAATCAGAGGAATAGACAGCAGGAGAGCCTGCAGAGGCCACCTTTGAACTGCCTCCCCTCCACTCCATCTATCTGAGCTGCTCCTGTGCTTTGCCAAATGCCCTCTGCTGTATCAGGCCAACACTGTGCCTGGGTGTCCCTTAGAATCATAGAATAGTTAGTGTTGGAAAGGACCTTAAGATCATCCAGTTCCACCCCCCCTGCCATGGGCAGGGACACCTCACACTAAACCATGTCACCTATGGCTCTGTCCAACCTGGTCTTGAACACTGCCAGGGATGGAGCATTCAAAACTTCCTTGGGCAACCCATTTCAGTGCCTCACCACCCTAACAGGAAAGAATTTCCTCCTTATATCCAATCTAAACTTCCCCTGTTTAAGTTTGAACCCATTACCCCTTGTCCTGTCACCACAGTCCCTAATGAAGAGTCCATCCCCAGCATCCCTATAGGCCCCCTTCAGATACTGGAAGGCTGCTATGAGGTCTCCATGCAGCCTTCTCTTCTCCAGGCTGAACAGCCCGAACTTTCTCAGCCGATCTTCATATGGGAGGTGCTCCAGTCCCCTGATCATCCTCGTGGCCTCATCTGGACTTGTTCCAGCAGTTCCATGTCCTTTTTATGTTGAGGACACCAGAACTGCACACAATACTCCAAGTGAGGTCTCACGAGAGCAGAATAAAGGGGCAGGATCACCTCCTTCGACCTGCTGGTCACACTCCTTTTGATGCAGCCCAGGATAGGGTTGGCTTTCTGGGCTGCAAGCGCACACTGAAGCTGGCTCACGTTCATTTTCTCATCGACCAACACCCCCAAGTCCTTCTCCCCAGGACTGCTCTGAATCTCTTCTCTAAAGAGAACATTCTTAAGAACATTCTTAAGAACATGAGATTACAGGAAAAAGCAGTAGGGCCCTTCCCCTGGGAGAGATCTCCACTGGGCAAGTTTCTTCCTGATCCCATCACTTCATGACCGTTTTATTCCTCAGAGCATTAAAGGTGTTACTGTGCTGTGACTTTACCTTATTTCCCTTTTAGATTTCTTTTAACTTCTATTTGGTTTATTTTTGAGCTCTTGTCCCAGTGAGCTGTTTTGGCAGCACAATGCAGGGGGTATATGCTGTCATAAAATGAATTGAGCCTTGAGTGATTTCAAATCCATCACACTGGTTGCACTGAATTAATCCACTGTATCAGAAAGACAGATATTTGTCATGAAATTGAAATCCAAGTCTGGAGCTCTTCACAAATACTGGCTGCTTCAGCTTTGCAGTATAGGTCAAATGATCAGTCCTGGAATAAGAAATGAGTGTTTGTTTTCAGCATCAATAATTAACAGCAAGGAACTTTCAGATTCCTTCTCTTTAAAGGGAAGATTGTAAAATGTCCAGAGGATTGCTTTATTTTATAGGTACGCTGCACCTCAACAGATAGTGCCACAAATGACAAAATTCCCAGTATTAGGAAAGCATTTAATCAGAGTTTTATTAACCCTATTTATCTGAGAGGAGCTGGTTCCTCTCTCCCTGACAGCCCAGTGTAAGCAAAGCTTTCTCCTGCTGTGCTGCAAGCATCCCTCTACAAGGTAGGATATGTCTCTGGAACAGGAACATGGTAGGGCATGAAATGGACATCACTGGGTGAGTGCTTTGGGCTGAGTGGGAGCCCCTTGGCAGGCAGTGGAGCAGCAGGGGGGATTTTAGGGGCAGGCTCCTTGCTGTCAGCCTGCAGAGGAGCGTGGCTGTGGTGAGCAGCACCATAGGGGCCAGTGCTGAGGACCATGGGGTGCAGCCCCACTAATGGGCTGCAGAGCAGATCACTTGACTCCACACAGTACTGATGATGGCTGTGATATTGACTAGCAGCCAGTCTACCCAAATCTAACCATGATGTTTGGCCCCTCTGTGTACCCCCAGCATCTGCCTGCCTCCCGGCACCCTGCATGCAATGGGGGATGAGCTTCTGCAGGTGTCTCCTGCTGTTGGGATGGGGTTTGAAGAGGATGCTGCTGGTGGTGGATCCTAAGCTGTGGCACTTGGTGTGAGGCTTTAGCAGCACAGTTGTTTCTGCCAGGTGGGAGCAAAGGGGCTCTTCTGCAGGGATGCTGATGTGGAAGCTAACTTGGGGTAACTTAACAGGAAAGCCAGAGTGGAGTGTTAACCCTGAGATTCCTTACCTTGGTGTATTTGTGATCTATGTTCCTAACAAAGCTTGTTATTGAAATCCTGTCCAACCACATTCAGATGAAGCTAATGATAACACAGCTCAGGGTTACAGACATTTCATCCATTACTGCTGCTTCCTGGTTTTAGTTTTCTCTCCTTGTCAAACAGCAGCTCTAGGAAACAAGAGTTTATCAAGCAATGCAGTGCAGGCTGTACAAAATCAGTTTTTCCTTGCTTAATTACAAAGTGCCCTTAAAGTAGCAGACTCTGGGAATGATTTACAAGCTTTGTAAAAGATTCAGTTCACCGTCCTTACACTGCTAGAGATATCTGCAGGTTTTTGTTGCTGCCTTCTCAGTATTTTAAGTTTCCCTTCCCCTTCCCTTTGCTTATTTCTATTGTTTTGTTTTCTTTCTCTCCCTTCTCTTTGCTGTCTGAGAGTCTCTCGAGTTTGTCTGGAAGGCCTGATTTCTCTTTCTGGTGTCATTAATAATGGAACAAAACCACATTAACAGTTGCAACAACAGCCAGATAGGAGCCAGAAAGCTCCTTTTGCTCTCTAATATGCTGCATGAGTACTCCGAAATGCTTTTCACAGAGGGCTTGCTTTTTTCCCCCCTTGACCTTTTTCTTTGATGTCTTTTTGGACTCAGCAAGATGCTTGGCCTTGTCTTTCATTGAAGAAGAGATGAAAAACACCAGAGTTAAAAATTCACGGAGATTCCAGACCTGCAATATACCTTTAAAGGTAATTTCATCCTGTGAGAAACCATGGGAGTCTATCCAGCAAAGGAACGTTAACAGGGACTGGGGGTACTTGCATCTGCAGGCTCAGGGGGCTGCGGGGGCTGCTTACCACAACCTTGAGATGCTTCTGGTCGATGCAGTGAGCTGGCAAACAGCTGGCAAACAGCTGGCAGAGAGCAGAGGAGGGCTGCAGGCAACAGAAATGTGCACAGGGACTGAAGAAAACAGGTAGCATCCTGCTGGACCTCGCTCTTTCACATGAGGTTGGTGGTCCAGGCTTACCTTATGTGGTCTTCTGGATGTGAAAAGAGCGTTCACTTGGAGGCTTCAGTAGAAAAACATTCCTTCCATCCAAGTCTTTTGCAGCATCTGAAATAGAACCTGGCCAAACCGCACTTTGTCTGTGGTTTCTTTTTGCCCTTTATTTCTTTTTGTCAGAGGCACAGTGCAAAAATCCCTTCTCTTATTCCAAATCAATCAATTTGAGGAGAGTAAGAGGAGAGACCATGGCTTGTCCGGGTCTGTGAGCATTCCTTCACTTTCTAAGCTATCTAGACTGCCTGAGTCTGGTTTTGGTCTGTGGGTTTGGGGGTTAGGATGAAGTGATGATGCAGAAATGTGTATCTGAGGATGCAGAGATGCTCAGTAGAAGGGAGACATCTGGGAACGTTTTTTATCAGGTACTGAATGCCTTGTGGGTGAATGCAATCACCTGGCTGTCCCCACTCAGTGTTAGAAATGACACAGGCTTTTGCTACATGGCATTAAAACTCTTCCAAGATGTTTCATCCTCCTTCTGTATTTACAGAGGGTGCAATACCCCTGTTCTCTTCCAATGGGAAAGAAAGCACAAAGTTGTTTCTTTCTAGGGAACTTGTGACAAAGCAGAGCAAAAGAATTCCTTGTGTTTTTGAGTCTCTGAGGTGGTCTTTATCCCTTCCAGGTGAAGTGACAAGAGCACAGAGCACAGCTACAGTGGCTGAAGGCTTGCACTGTGGTAGCAGGACACTTCATATGACCATTGCAAGTCATTGA